TCCCAGTATGTGAGAGGGGGCAGGCTGGGCTGAGGGACACTCCCCCTCACCCCCACCCAGTGCACGAATTTCGTGCACCGGGCCCCTAGTTTTATTCCATAAAATATTATTATACTTTGAAGGGATTTTCAACCACAATTAATCCTTTATTGCCTTGATACCTTAAATCAGTGGTTCTCAACCTTCTGCCCCTTTAAATACAGTTCCTCATGTTGTGACCCAAACATAAAATTATTTTCGTTGCTACTTCATAACTGTAATGTTGCTACTGTTATGAATCCTAAAGTAAATATCTGATATGCAGGATGGTCTTAGGCAACCCCTGTGAAAGGGCCATTCAACCGCCAAAGGGGTCGCGACCCACAGGTTGAGAACCACTGCCTTAAATGATGATCTTTTAAGGATGTTAGGGATTATAACACAACCAACTCAATTTTACCCTTGTACAACAAGGGTAGAGCAAACAGAAACCACTGTGACGTCTGTGGGAAGGAACGGCCAGAGGCAAGGGCACTATGTACATCAGGAAAGGCTTAAGACAGTGGGTCTCAACCTTCCTAATGCCGCGACCCTTTAATACACTTCCTCATGTTGTGGTGACTCCCAACCATAAAACTATTTTCGTTGCTACTTCGTAACTGTAATTTTGCTACTGTTATCAGAATGTAAATATCTGATATGCAGGATAGATTTTCATTGTTACAAATTGAACATAATTAAAGCATAGTGATCACAAAAACAATATGTAATTGTATATGTGTTTTCCAATGATCTTAGGCGACCTCTGTGAAAGGGTCGTTCGACCCCCAAAGGGGTTGAGACCCACAGGTTGAGAACCGCTGGCTTAAGAGGAGATACAGATAAGAAAATAGATGACTACCCATTTTTCAATTTCATACCCAGGTAGATAAGCTTAATGAGGCATTCAGTTAAAAAGTGTTTTGAAATCCTTAGCCCATCTAGATGGCTCTGACATTAGGATACTAAGGAAGAGATTACTACAGGTGGGAAGCAAAGCAACAAGTTTAACTTCCCTTCCAAACCTAAACCTGCTACTCAATTGCAGATACAAACCTGGGCTTCTCAAGAGTGCCTGGAGATGGACTTGGGGTCATAAGCATGCAGGCAATGGAAATGGGTGAAGTCACTCAGGAGCAGTACAAACTAAAGGCTAACAAAAGCTTTAAACGTAGAGTGGAAGCCAACTGAGGAATGAGTGAGCAAAATAAAACATGATGGTTTCCTTATCGTCCTTATCACATTATGTTGGCTGTTCTATGAGCTTACAATTCAACCAGACCGTTTGCTTTCTTCAAGTGTTATTTTTCCACCTTGATTTCAAGATCTTGAAGGACAAGAACTCCTCTTCCCTTTCTTTTATATTTTTTTGTAAACCTGCCATGCCCAGTAGTCTTACACATATAGTAAAACTCAACAAATTCTTCATTCACTGACTTGTTAAAATGGGGATTTGTTTTTGAATGCAACATTTAATGCAAATTCCTCACATCAAAGAGTGAAATATTAGAAACCATTCATGCGACTCTTGAGAATGATTCTCTGAATTTAAACCTTCCCTCACCCATTTACTCCCAAAAGGCTCAAATCTCTCAGAAGCAGCAAGTTTCTCCTGCATCAACCCCTGCAGGTAAACCTACTCTCACAGAATTCTTGGCTACTAGGAGTGTGGATTTAAAGAACCATTGTAATGTACAGTTGGTTTTCTGAGAGATGTAGCAAGGTTCATCAATGGGGAAATCTGGCAAGACTGGTCAGAGAATATGAGTCTATGGCTAATTCCTTAGTGGAAAAATAGAAAGCCAAACAGAAACTAAGAAGTTATGACTCTGTACACAAACATAGTACCCAGACATCTTCTGGCATCACCCATTAAGTGGTCCCAACTATTGATCAAACATATTTAGCTTGGCACTGCCTTCTTATCATTCCATAAGTAAGAAAGGGGGGAAAAACCATAAAAAAAAAACAATAAGAGATTACAGGGGCCATCGATGAATAAGCAGCACATTACTAGTAAGCCTGGGGCTAGGATGCTGAAATGCACATCATTACAAATGAACCTCACTGCAGGCCACATTTCCCTTGAATATTTTTCTTCTTCTCTAGCCACCTATTTGGACCTAACCTTCATTCTCTTCCCTCTATCTATGGGGGGTTAATTTTTTCCCCTTTGATCTCCCTGGATCTAAGTATATACGTGCTCATGTGCTTTGGGTAATAACAGTTTCCAGGTCTAGCAAGACTTTCATGTTAATGCTGTACTGTGCCAACTCTTTGAGACTGCCTCATGAGCTAAAGAGAAACAGTGTTTGCATAAACTTTTCCCCAATGATGGGTTTTACACTGGGAAGTGAGAAAGGCTCCTCACTGAGCATGGCTAACTAGAAAGCAAAACAGATGACCCAAGTTTCAAATGCAATTATTAGGTTGTAG